TTATTAAACAAAAAGAAAGAAAATTCAGCTGTGATGACATTGGAACTTGCCCTCTCTGATAAGTTGATGGTGAGAAAGTTTCCTCCTGTGTACTCAAAATCTGAGCTGAAGCCAAGGCAGATTTTAATGTGGTTGCTTAATTGTGTTAGAGTCCTTTGACCAATACGATTCCTTTCCTCTGCATATGGCTTATGAATGCCCTTGTGAGATCTGTGCCCTGTTCTTCTCGTTATTGCTAATGCCATCTAACCTGTTCAAGATGACTGCCCCTTTTGTCAAGGATAAAAGTGATCGCATCTTAGACAGGTGGTCCTCGTGGACAATATCATTATTATGTAGTAAAAAATGTCGGGGGGAGGTTGGGGCAGTGATCATTTGCACAGGTAACTGTTTTTGGGACAGATGATTGTTAGAGAGGGTTTTTAACTATTTTTATTTATTTTATGACAATTGTAATTGTTACTCGGACTTGGGCTTAACCAGAACTCAACTCCAAATAACATGAAGAAATGACAATGTATGTGTAGCTGTGTAGATTTTGTGGAAAGATGTCGTTCATTTTACAAAAACTTCATTGCACTATCATTTCTGGTGATGGCCAAATATTCTATAGTTTGCATCTGTGCCTTATATTTTGTCACACGTTTTATATTGAGCTATCTAACTTGTGGCACCACGGTACTTAAAGTAACATTAAACTCAAAATTCCTCAAAACTTGTTCCATCTACAGCTGCTGTCAGTGCAATTGCCAAGTTTGGAGCCCACTGTGAGGACCTAATGGAGAGCTGCATCGTTCTTCTCGAACGGTAAGCTTTGGAAAAATAGTTATAATGGAAAGACTTTGATTTTCACGCAATTTTGGTCCTGAAGCCTCAAAATTGAGGTGAAAGACAACAGGAGAAAGAGGCTAAAACGGCACGTAAACATATGTAGCATCTGTCAATGGATTGTTAATGGTTTGGTTCCATTTGGTCCCACATGAAAAGTCAAGTTTCATTTTTAGTGTTGAGAGAATGTCAAATTGTATCAAGATGTGTAATGGAATATTATTCTTTGGTGTCAAGATACCTTAGACCGTTGTTGGTGCCTTGGTTTGGTTTTTCTCCAGTGATTCTTGTCTTTTGTAGCATTTTCTTTAGGCTGAACATTTCACTGACTTGTTGAATATATAAGAAATCACGCTCCAATTTTCATTTCTTTTTTAATGTTTTCTTTTGTATCCACACATTAGTCGTTAGTGGCATTTGTATAAATTTTCTCTTCAAGTTTAAATATATTTTAGTGGGTGGTTGTCGGGTGCTCTGATGTGGTTTGCCCTTACTTTCCTATCAAACATCTTTCGTCCTTATCTCTCCTCCTTGTTTTTTGTGTTTGTTACTCTCTTGTAACACCTCTAATCTTTGTCACTTGTTTGACCTTATTGTGTTAAACTCTTACTAAAAATAAATTGTAGTCTCTTTTTTTTTCTTTTAGTGGCATGTTTTAAACAATTAATTAATTACTTTGGCATGTTCTGTAGTTGCTCAAAATTCATTGAGTGCATCTGTACTTGTACAGCTGCCAGCTGGACAGCGACGATGAAGTGAGAGACAGAGCCACTTTCTACGTCAACGTGCTCAAGCAGAACCAGAAACCCCTCAGTTCTGCCTACATCCTCAATGGTGAGTTACCTCTCACTTCTCTTCCTCCTCCATATTTTCTACTTTGTTTATTGTTATTTACCTCTTTCTGAGCTGCTCGCCACACTCTGTACCACCTGTCTATTATGTTATGTGTAAGTGATAAATTATTGCAAATGGAAAGAGTTAAAGCTCTCTTTTGAATTTGAAGCATAAGGCCCTGGTCTTTAAAACTGCTTAAATGAAATCCTGGAGGAAGTTTTAAAAAAAATCAAATTGTCTTGGCTTTGTTTGGTTGTAAAAGTAAGTTGATTTGGATAGTTCATTTTTGTGGGTGGTCTCAAGTTATGGAAAATGTAGAGAACTGCATTTTAATTACGACAGCAAGCAGCATTTTTGTTTGAAAATTGTTTTGTGCTTATTTAAGGGGAACTAGTTTAGTAAGTATTCTGTCCCTGATCACAATGATCATGATCTTAAAGAAAGAATCTCTTAACAAGAATGTTTCTGAGTGCTCTAGGGTGTACCTAAAGTAAAATTGTTCCTGCAGCCGATCCGGACATTAGGGATTGCCTTGTTAGTGAGACAACTTCATGGGCCTTCTGCATATTGTGGTAGGTTGGCCAGTTCCTTTCCACATCGCCTTTACTTCCCCAATTCGAAGTCAGGTACCCAGTACGGTTGGGTGGGCAGGAGGGGGCGAAAAAGTCTGAGGCTCGAACCCGGACTTTCCGATTTGGAGACAAGCACTCTAACCGCTCCGTCTCCGCACCCTCGGTTCTACCTACTTGGGTCATAATAGTTGTAAAGTGCTTAGCCAAGCATTTATATGCGTTATTTAAACGCAGTTATTATCTTTATTATTATTATGTTTGAAATTCCTTGTTTTCTCAGGCCTGCAAGTGTCTGTGGTTGGTCTTGAGAGAGCCTTGCATCAGTACACCCTGGAGCCCACAGAGACGGAGTTTGACATGAAGTCTGTGCCACTGGCCACTCAGCCTCTCGCTGAGCAGAAAGGTGAGCAATACTTCTCTCGTGCCTCTTTGTCAGCTTCTTTTGTTCTGTTTAGCCTACTTCGGAGAAGAAAATATATATAGAGAGAGAGAGTTGTTTTCTTCCCATTGTTGTGTGAACAAATTTTCCAAGTCAGTGTGAAGTCTATCAGTTTGTGGAAACTTAAACTAAAGATTATTTGTAATGGAAATTTTTTTATCAAAGCCAGTTTTTCTTTCATTATCATATGCAATGCCATTGTGTAGTTTTTGTTTTCACATAGGATTGCTTGAACTTGTAATATTAATTTTTATCTAAACTGGTTCAAATTTATTTGTTGCTGAGCACAAATTACGGTAAAAGAGCTGTGTCAACTTTGTACAGTATCTGAATGGTACATGATATACACAGTTTGAAACGCCCCACATTTGTAATCATGTCTCAGCATACTTAACAAGGCTAAAGACTTAAAGTGTTGGAATTGGTGTCTCCTGTAAGTGGTAACATTTTTTCCCCTTTCTCTTCCTGTGTGGGTGGTTTTAGTTTAGTTTTAGTGGAGGTTTTACGGCGCTCGCAACTGCATAAGGTCATATGAGCGCCAGAAGATTAGAGGTGTTACAAGAGTAACAAACATAAAAAAGAACAAGGGGAGATAAGGACGATAGATGTTTGATAGGACAGAAGGAGCAAACGGTGGGTGTTTGCGGGTACTCTGGTGTGGTTTGCTTCTTCTTTCCTATCAAACATCTGTCTTCTTTATCTCCCCTCCTTCTTTTTTTGTGTTTGTTACTCTCTTCTAACACCTCTAATTTTCAGCACTTATATGACCCTATTGTGTTGTAAGTGCCGTAAAACACTTAGTAAAACAAGTGTTGAATTGATGTCTCCTGTTTGTGGTAACAACTTTCCTCTTTCTCTCCCTGTGCAGTGCGGGATGTGCCAGGGGAGTCTGCCAGCGTCAAGCCCTCACAGGACAAGGTGGCTGCCTCCAGGCAGGATGTCTACCAGGAACAACTGGCACAGGTACAGAGTGTGCTCATTTCATCAGGCTCTGTTTAACACTTTGCCGTCTCATCTCGCCGATCGGCAATGTTTACCACCCAGTTTCTTTGGATTTTCCCCAAAATGCCTTTGCCTTTGATGGCAAGGGTTTTTACTAGATGAGCCTTGTGATGGTTAAGTGTTAACAGAGGTGCCGAATTTTTGGATAAATACAGAAATCGTATTTCTCAAATTCTCTGCTTTTTGCTGGACCTCAGGCCAGTCATTGAAAAGTTGTTGCAGTGTATATAAAAGGAAGGGATTGAAAAAATGAAAGACAAGCGAGTATCTGTGTCCTTTCAAAAAGTTAAAACTATTTTTGTCTATTTCATGTCTGATCAGGTTCCGGAGTTGGCAAACTTGGGCACCTTGTTCAAGTCGTCGAGACCGCTGGAGGTGACCGAGTCGGAGACAGAGTACTACATACAGTGTGTCAAACACACTTTCAGCAATTACATTGTGTTCCAGGTATGTAAGTGGTCTAGTTTTATGGAGTATTCTCTCAGATCTACAAGTGTGGGTGGTTGGCGGGTGCTTTGATATGGTTTGCTCCATATTTCCTACCAAACATCTATTGTCCCTTTTTTGTGTTTGTTACTCTCTTGTAACACCTCTAATCTTCAGTACTTATATGACCTTATTGTGTTGCAGGTGCTGTAAAACTCTTACTAAAACTAAACTAGATCTGCAAGCTGTCACAATATCTGCTTTCACATCCTGCAGAACTTTTGCTTCAAGTTTTTTGGGGATGGGGGCTGTACGTATTCTCAGGGGGATTTGGGATTCTGTATTTTCATGTCACATTGTGTTCTAGTGGCAGTGTTGTGATTTATTGTATTCTGATTGTTGGAAAATACAAATTTATTGTGCTCTGGTATGTTTTGTATCACCAGTTACTGTGCAAGTTTTATTATTATTTGCTTTTCGGTGGAGGGTTTGTCGTGTAGTATTCTCCTTCGACTCCACTCTCTTTCTATTTTACCCTTTCCTTGACTGCCTTTATGAGATGTAGGTTTTTTTCATTGTAACGATTCCCTCAAAATGTACCTAATTTAACGATGGCTTTAGCATGGTTGATTGTGAATATGGCTGACACAGTTCTGTGGTACAGGTTTGCAACCATTTGGACTTTGAAGTTCTTTCCTTTACAGGGATGCTTAGGGTGGGTGGTTGGCGGGTGCTCTGATGTGATTTGTTTCTTCTTTCCTATCAAACATCTATCGTCTCTATCTCCCCTCCTTTTTTTATATTTGTTGCTCTCTTGTAACACCTCGAATCTTCGGTACCTATATGGCGTATATTATTGTGTTGCAAGTGCGTAAAACTAAAACTAGGGATGCTTTTTTGAGGGGGGGGGGGGGGGGGGGAATCAGCCTTTGTGTCCTGCTTAACCCATTATTATTTGTTGTGTCTGTTAACTGTCTTTTTGTTTGCAAATGCAACTTTGTAAATTTTCACATTTCCCAATGGCTTCCCTACCTTTTGCTCTGTACTTATCTCCCTCATTACATTCTTTTTTGTAGTTTGACTGCACCAACACTCTGAACGACCAGTTGCTGGAGAATGTGACTGTGGACATGGAGCCGGCCGAAGGTTTTGAGGTGTCCAAGAGCATCCCGTGCGTGAACCTGCCGTACAACAAACCAGGCTCCACCTACACTCTGGTCAGACTCCCCTCGGAGCCCACACAAGGTACACTTTTAGGCTCCATTTTCTGATTTCTTTTTATGGTGGAGGGGGGAGGGGGGGGGGGTGTCCTGCCCTATGCTGACAAAACGCCTTTTCTTATTCACAGCAGTTTGGAGAAATCAATGATTTTCAATTTTCTTATATTATCTGTTGAACATGATGGGGAATGCTATTCTCTTCAGAGTATGGGATCAACGGTTGATGTACGTTGCAAAATAGTTGAGATATTAATATTATATATTATAAGTTGATTTCTCGAAACTACTGTGAATAAGAAAAAGGTGTTTTGTCAGCGTAGGGCTGTGTTTTTGTGTGCATGCAAGTGTGAGTATGAGTGATTGTTTATATAATACATGTGATTGCCTCAAGCTTGCATGAACACCTGCTAAAAAATAACTCGGGGGGAGGTCGTCACGGTAGTGCAAACGATTAGATTTAGATCTCTAGACTCGAAACAACAGAGCAGGAGTAGTGTTGGGATAAAGTAAACAGGGAAGTGTAGTATTCTTTCAAAATACTTTGTCAGTTTTTCAGTCAGGATGTTGAGTTCATTAAAATTTTAAATCTTGTTTGTTTCTTTCCAGTCACTGGAACATTTGCTTGCACCTTGAAGTTCTTGGTGAAGGATTGTGACCCGCAGACTGGAGAGCCGGATGATGAGGGTTATGATGATGAATATGTGGTATGTACTTTTGTTTGTGTGTTTAATCTCAATTAAAATATGTTCTAGATTTGTGTTTTGAGCAGAAAAAGACTTTGTGGGTGGTCGGTGGGTGCTCTGGTGTGGTTAGCTTCTTCTTTCTTATCAAACAATTATCGTCCTTATCTCTGCTTCTTATTTGTGTTTGTTTCTCTCTTGTAACACCTCTAATCTTCGGCACTTATATGACCTCATTGTGTTGCAAGTGCTGTTAAACTCTTACGAAAAAATCCCGAAAAATACTTTTGTAGATTGTGTTCTAGTGTTAAATTTGTTTTCTGTTTATTATGAAATTATGCATACCTTTTGTACGAAAATGAATTGGACAGTGTACTGTCTACTTTCAACTAGCAATATGCAGCATGTTACCATTATTCTATACTTTCTGTGCTTGTCACTATGGCATGCATATGAAGGGGCACATTGTTATCTCAGTTGTTATCCTGCTGGACTACCAAGCGGATGGCCTTTGTTCAAATCCCCAATGAGGCATTCGTGACTTGGGTTGTTGTAGAGAATTTGTAAAGGTTCTTCACCCATTTGGCTTAGTTCTATGGGTGATGGATGTTCAATTGGGATGTTCCACCTCTCAAATAACCAACCAAAAAGTATTGAAAGGGGCGTTAAACTCTTACAGTGACCAATAACACAAATGAGGTCAATATGCTGTTTGTGAACATGTATTCATTGTTAAGCACTATTGTGTACCCTTAGCTTGAAATTAATGCTGCTAGGAGGGTGGTTTGCGGATGCTCTGGTGTGGTTTGCTCCTTCTTTCCTACCAAAAATGTATTGTCTCTATCTCCCCTCCTTCTTTTTTGTGTTTGTTACTCTTTTGTAACACCTCTAATCTTAAGCACTTATATGACCTTATTGTGTTGCAAGTGCAGTAAAACACTTACTAAAACTAAAACTAAACTCCTACAGTGACCAATTATAACATAAATGAGGTTGATATGCTGTTTGTAAACATGTATTCCTTGTTAAGCACTATTGTGTACCCTTAGCTTGAAATTAGAGCTGTTAGCATTTGAAATTTTCATAGAAAGGATGTGCTGATTTATCTTTTTTCCTTTTTCCCCATGCTCAGCTGGAGGATGTGGAGGTGACAGTGGCAGATCACGTACAGAGGGTGATGAAGCCCAACTTTGCCGCTTCCTGGGAGGAAGTGGGTCCCGAGAACGAACTGGAAGACACCTACTCTCTGTCCACCATGAACACACTGGAAGGTAATGTCATGCCTGTGTGGATGCTGGTTGTTTGAGTGGGTGTAGTCTGGTAAGGGTTCTGACAGGGGTCTGTTTGAGTGGCATTTCTTCTGCTACGTTTGTTCAGTGTGGGGTTTTGTTATCTCTTCCAGTGTAGAGTCGCTATCTTTGTCTACCTTTGTGCACCTAACGCCGTTCTTTCGCTTTGCTTATGGGCAGTTTTTTTCTTATTGTCGATGCACTCGTTGTGAGCTTGGAGGGGGTCATTTCCGGTGATACCATTTTACCTTCTTTTATTGAAGATTTATCCACGTGTTGAGTCTAAGGTATTTTTAGATACACATTTTTAAACTTCAGTAGAAATGCCACCACACCTAAGGCTCCAAATAATAAGTTGCCATGGAAACAGCAGTGAGCTCTGACAAAGGGTCACTATGGGACTGTTGGTCGCAATTTTTACCTGCATGTGAAGTCCAGGCTTCAGGTCCTGATGTGGATCTCTGTGCTCTGCTTTCAAAATGTCTAAAATTGTCCAGTAGGGTTATTATGAACTTGTAAAATGTACCCAAAAAATGTTCTTGAAGTGATTGGAAAGTTTAGAAGCTTGAGAAGTTTTGTGCACCCTTTTCATGATTAAATTCGATGTGGGTGGTGTACAGGTGCTCTATTGTAGTTTGCTACTTCTTTCTTATCAAACATGTATCGTTCTTATCTCCCTCCTTCTGTTCTTTGTATGGAGCAACACCTCTAATCTTCAGCGCTTAATAATTACCTATTTGTGTTGAAAGTTCCGTAAAGCTGTTACTCAAAGCTCAAATGATTTGACCTGTGCCATACCCCACAGGCAATGCTACTGACTGAAGTGTCTTTAGGTCATTCTCAAAGAGGGGACATTAACATGTTCTTATGCACAGTAAAATTGTAAAAGGGCTGATTCATCAATGTCATGCTCTTAACTGTGCCTGAACTGCAAGAGGGAACTGCTGCTTTTTCTTTTCTTATCCTTACTATCCTCATTTTTTCTCCACTTCTTTTGTTTGTTTTTCACATTCTTGGGACCCGCTATTTCTGGGGTGCCTTGTTAGTCAAAGCAAACTTTGTGCTGTTGAAGCTAGAGAGGTGAGCAGAGTAAGCCGGATTTCCTGTAAGGACTTCTCTGTTGACATCCATCCCTTGGCGTTCATATGACCGTATGCAGTTGTGAGTGCCGTAAAACTTCTACTAAAATTAAACTAACTGACCTGTGCCATGTTTTCATTTCAGAGGCCATCAAGAACATAATCCAGTACATTGGATTGCAGCCGTGCGAGAGGTCAGACAAGGTGCCTGAGGGCAAGAGCTCCCACACTCTGTACCTCGCCGGAGTCTTCCGGGGTGGCCATGATGCCCTGGTGCGGGCCAAGCTGGCGCTGGACTCGTCGGGCGTCACCATGCAGCTGACGGTGCGCTCCACCGATCCCAACGTGTCTGAGGTGCTGGCCACTGCTGTAGCTTAACAGTTGCGTCTAGCTGGGGGTGCGTCTTATCTTGAGCATCATGCAAGACTCTTGTAATCCCAACGTATGTATGGGTAGAACCTGAACTGAAGCTTATTGTCTTTGGTTTTTTTATAAGCATCTAATAATAGGCACTGTTAATGTTCTATGTAATGTGATTGGTTCTTATTTTTGTTAGACTTGCATATGAGCTGAAAGACAAGATTATAATGGTATACCTCCATAGATTTGTGGCAATTCTTAGGTGTATGAGTTCTAATTTTTTGTTGTACTGAATTCTGTGAGAGGATAGGAAAGTATTGGATTTTTGGTAATTGATTACGCCAAAGTGATAGCGTACAGTTGTATATCCCTTCTCCTTGAAGGTTGTCAGAACTTTGCGATGATTTTGTTATTGATGCCATGCTGGGTTCAATATTGAATTAAATTTATGTGGGGAACGCTAAGAAAAGGAACAATTGAATTATTGTTGACTATGGTGAGGAAACTTTTCTCCATCATTAGCCTAGTCTTAGTTCTGTTGCTACTCCCACCTTGGTTTTTTCATGATTTTATCTAGCACAATGGTTGTTTCGAGAAAAAAATCTTGTCTAAAATTTTGAAGAAAATAAAGATTGGTTGTCAGCGTTTCAAAGCTGACCCAGGAGGTAGAAAGACACAAGTGTATTCTAATTGGTAAGAGATGTGATTCATTGTCCATGTGTCAAATTTGTAGTTTATGTCATTCTCTGTGAAAGATGATAAAAATATGCTGCTTTGCATGTGGTCCCAAGTACTTTAAAAAGTAAAAAATGTGCTGCTTTGAATATGGTCCCCCTTTTTAAAGAAAGAAATATTCTGCTTTGCTTCCCTACTTTAAAAGCAACTCAAAAGTATGTTTGGCTCCTTTCATCATTGTGCAGCAGTTCAAGATACAACTCAAAATTTGAAGTTTTCGCATTTGTTTAGCTTCCCCAAAAGACCCCACATGTTATCAATTTCTATTGTTCTGTGATACAGGATCATTGTGGGGTTTGTTTATTTCTGTGCATCTGGTTTCCCGATTACCCATCAAATCTGAAATAAACAGTCGGTGGATAAACTTGACGCTGGTTTTGAGGTTCTTTTGTTGTAATTTTGCTTTTATTGAATGAGGATAGTTGTAACAATTTCGAAAACAGTCTTATAGTATAGTGTACATTTAGCAAACCTGTTCATCTACAAAAGAATTTCTGGCTGAAATCTTTGAAATGAAGGTGAACAATAGTAATATTCACAACTTAAATTGCATTTCATATCATATCATAATATATACAATAGTGAGGTAACGTGCATGCTCATGCTCGCATTCATGTTCAGTATATTTACTGTCTTTATTTAAACACATTAGCTTTGATTTAAAAGGAAAGTGAGGGTTGGAAACAGATTCAGGTATTGTACAGAAAGAGTCTGTAGACTACCTCAGAAGTTCATTCCACACCAAAGTTAGACACATGCCTATACTTACATTTTGATTATAATAAATCTTATCCAAGGCTGCACACTGACGTGACTCTGGTTCACCATGGAGCACACTGTTTGACTTTATTTAGATTCAAAATTAATGAAGGGCAAGAAAGGAAAGGTTGCGCGCACACTCGGCTATAGTGAGACTTGTGTTTTGCCCTTCGTTTGTGTGCTCATTGTGCGCACCAGTGCAACAGTTTTTATAGAGAGCCTAGAGCGGTGGCCATGACTGTGCAGTCTACAAGGATATCAATTACTAGCTGGACCCCCTTTCGATGAAAGGAAAAATGGTGAAATGGTATGAGTTTAACGCCCCTATCAACACTTATCGA